GATGTGATATCTTGTGCCTTGGCCCTGAGAACAATGAAATTCTTCGTCAAGTGAATGCCATGAGATAAATTCAATTACATACACAGTAAGAGGATATGCTGGCATTTCCTCATTTACGTGGGCACATTTGGGTTGGTCGAAAGAAAAAGGAACTCCTCTTCAAGCACACTTTTTTCCATTTATATCGTGCCCAACCCATCAATTTGGCGCGTCTCCCTTCAATTGCTTATACAGAAAAAAAAGATGGTGAGAGGAATTAATTGAATGTAAAATGCTTGCTTTTCCGCCTTACGTGTCAGTTCCATTCACAGAAACTCGTACTGGGCGATTAATTTCGGGAAGCAAATGCCTCTGCCTTCTACTCCTTTCGCCGCGCACTATGTACAAGAGTGTCGGCGTATCGACATTAGGCTCGGAACAGGTGGACGAAAGGGCTCAGGGAAATTCATTTTTAATTAAATGACTGCAATTAGGATGATATTTCTGGGAATTCCATTTTTTTACTTGAGAAATTCCAACCGTTACCGTCTCTTTATGGCACACAGTGAAGGGTGCGGAGAAGCACTTCGATGAAATTACTCTCTGTCATATTGCCAGTGCAGCAAAGTCGGCATTTAGTCATTAGCAAACTCACTGTTTTTAAGTTCCGCCTACTTATATGCCCTGCCCAGTCTTGCGCCAAGAACAGGGATTTACTGTGTCCACCGAGATGAAGTCTATTGCATTGTCTAATTGGATATACGTTGCTTCAAAGCGTTAAAAAAAGCCCACGAGATCGAACTTCATTTTCATCACTTTTTCTGCGTCCCTCTGCTGAAAGCAGAGCCTTGATGATGAAAGCTTTTTGTCCCTATTTCATGTCACACATTCCGCGTTCTAGATTGAAGCATAGTTTTCGCTTTTACGCCAATAAATATAGCACACGGAGTTGTGAAACTTTTATCCCCGTTTCGTCCACACTGAGACACACTTGGAAATTAATTTAGTGCCTTGATTCACAGACAGGTACGCGCTTTGGCAGAATTCCATCCTGAAATTCGCGCTTTTTGCGTGTCACACCCGAATGTCTATCGCCTTTTTCGGCCGTATGGGAACAATAGTTGCTGAGTGATAGAACGAATGGTAGACAGTGTTTTTTTTATCGCAGCCCGAGCGCAATAGCGAATAATGCAGTAGAAATCTGCATGGATGGATACTCGGAAAATGGATGAGTGCAAATGATAAAATCAATAGCAATTTATTTTATTTATAGCTCCTCACGCTCGAAGATTGTGTGCCATGGACCATTATCGCCATTGCCAGTTTCGCGGGAATTTTGTCATGAAAATTTTTCGGGAAAACAACAATTGTTATCGAGATAAAATGGTGCTGAATAAATAAATAATGCAGCAATGACTGAAAGTGTAATTTGGCGCAGATGCAACAATTTGTATTGAGCTTTTTCCTCATGAGCTCTTGCTGTCATCAGAGAAAGTGTGGGGACACAATTAAAAGTTGATAAGAGCGAAAAAGTCATTAATTGGCTCTTGTTTGGTGTAAATTGTTATTTTTTTTATTTTTAGAGTTTTTTTTTGACTCTATGTAATTTGAGTGTGCGTGCTGAGAGAAGCTCTTCGCGTGTGTCAATCATCGCTTGATTGGGAAGCTTTTTCATGAGCCAAAATAAACGCTTTCGCACAGAGCGGTGCTCCAGACTCGGTGGAAAATTGGCATAAATTCAATTAGAGAATTTTCATCTTAAATGAAAAACACTCTTCAGCCTCTCAGTCCCGTCTATATAGTTATTTCCTGACCGTTCCACAATTTCCATTAATTGCTTTCGATATTGCGGTGTTGGTGTCTCAATTTTGCCTGTAATTACTTTTCCTTATACTTTCTTTCCTCACCATCGGCACTGCACAAACAAGGAAATCGTTATCATTATTTTGCGGACTGATTATTTGGATTCGGCAATCATTTATTCCCTCCGTGCGATGGCCCAAGGAAGATCATGAAAATGGGAAATGGTGTTACTGTCCAATTGATGGGATTGAACTTAATTGAATTTCCAATGCCTCGCCCTAATAGAATTATGCTGGATTTCTGTCATGAACTATCTTTTAGGGTTTTCTCGCTCTCGGTCTTTATCTTCGTTTTCTCTCTTTTCTCTTTACCGCAGAAAATTGCAAAAACAATTTCACACTGTAGCAAAATTATTATGTAATTGCGAGAAACTATATATTATTTTTGCCTCTGCTGTGCATATATGAACACTGTATTTGTTCTGAACAAATAAACACCCCTGAAGCTCAAATTAATGAAAATAAATTGCATGGCAAACATGCGCTTCTCGAGCATTAATTTTTAAATATCCTTAGATTCCACACTGAGCAAATCATTATTCGATATCCGCGCAATACCTCTTTTAGTGACATCAAAGGTATGTGAACGAGTCTTCAGACAATGCAAGAAATCCTCCTCCAAAAGCAATTTCTTCGGATAAAAGTCACACAAATTTTCTAAGCTCTAATTGAATTGACGCTCGCGAAAGACGATGGAGTTTTCTTTTCTTTTCTTTGGCAATATTGTTCGACAGATGAAAGATTGATTTGCTTTTTTCTACCCCCCAGAGAGGAGTGATTTTGCAAAATTGCACACTTTCGCCATATTCCCAATGGGTGGATTTCATCCTTATCGCGATTGTAAATCAATTTTATGGGAATTTCTTGTGCAGCCCTGTACAAATGGAACTCAATTGCATTCTTGGGACGATTGAGGACCCAGAATACAGTGATTTCGCAATTTTACACGTGGCATAGGAAGAATGGGAAACCTGCGCCTCGAGGTGGAGCAAAATCAGAACGTTATAGATGAATGCATTGAATGCACTGTAGGTGAATTTCATGGCATCTCAAGGTGATGTAGGAGAATCCCTTTATCTCTCGCTTTTCACTTCTCTTATTTTTGCCCTTTCTTCACGTGAAATCTGTGCCTTGTTGATGTTGTGCACGATTTCAATTTATCTGAAGCCATATATGGTGGAGCGCAATTCACCAATGAGTAGTCGATTTATCATTCTACACTCAATCTCCTGCTTTGGAGGAAATTTAGAATAATTTCATTGTGAAATGCAGAAAGTGTATTAAATATGTGCATGCTCGCTCATGTGCGGCTGTTCATTGTAGTAACAGGTCAAAATGAATATCAATTATAATCATTTGGCAGTATTTACTTATTCATGTGGAAATCTAAGAAATACTCTGATTTATTATGAGAAAATTGAAGTATTCTGATTTTTGTGATCCTTTTGTTTGACAGAGAAAAGTCAAAATTTCATTTGAAATGAATCAACCACCTAAAACTACATTTTAACCTTTAAAATTGTACGACCAGTATGAAGCTGAACTCGATCTGCAGCTAAAGTACCAATGTGCGTATTGAGTGAGAATTTATTATTAACAATTTGTAAGGCAACAGCAATGCTTGCACGATAGTCAATTTAGTTGGCACAATAAAATATTATTATGCTCCCGTTTTTTCTTCACCCCATCCACACAATATCCTCAGAAGGTGGTGAAGTGGTGCTGGATTGAGTATAAATTGAATTCGCGCCAACATTCATCACATTTTGCACCCCGCCAACAGCAGACACGTTCAGAAAATTTGCTCCATGTGACATTGCGTATATGCCGGAGTGTGCAAAGCAAAGGAGTATCCAGTTGGTGTGTAAATTGTATCTTTTCTGCACCGTCACGTCGGCTGTCGAATATTTTGTTACACGCAAACAAGGAAATAATAATAATGGTGCGAAGGAGCACTGAGACGACTCCCACACCGCGTGCTGTACACTTTATGTGATACACAGAAGGCGCTCTGCCCCGGCTGAGAAACGCACACCCACACGCGCGCAAATGCCCAAATTGTCGTGAGACCGCGGAAGGGTGAGTGGCGAAAGGAGCAAAAATGCTCTACCTTTCATCGCCCCCACACCTGCCATGTCCCCACCCCCCACACATTCCCCCACAGATTCTCACATTGTTAGCGATAAACAATCATACAGCGGCAGTTAACGGGTGTGCTCTATATGCCGCTCCGAAGATACCTTCTCCTCAGGAATCTCCTTGACATCATTATAGCCGTTTCCGCGTGCAAAGTTATTCCATAATTTTGAATGGTTTTGCCAACATTCACAACTTTGCAGGTGAGGTTTTGCGCCAAGTTGCCGTGAAATCAAGAACTGAATAAATTGACGAGTAACAGATTTTCTGAGATTTGGACCTCAGTCTCTAAACTGTGGAAGTTTCCCAACCATTGCAGCCTCTGTGCAAACCACTGATTATGACCACATACGTAAGTTCTTGATATGAATGTACAAATCCTCAGAATATGGCTAATTGAAGAGTCAATTATTTCGGTGTTTATTGCAATAATAATCTACATTGTTGAGTGGGGTGTATTTTTAGAAAGTCGTCGCTGTATTCACTGCATCAGCAGCCAATTGAGAAGGTAGAACATAAATTTTGTAATGGGTGTGGTGCAGTAAAAAAGACATAAAGTACGGTTTTATGCAAAGGCGGAAGAACAGCGAAAAAATGGAGAGTTTATGAGAATCGTTCAATGTTAAAAGGCACAAATTGCCAAGTAGAAAAGGGATTACCTATACAAGTACATTGAGATTAAGAGAGATGCTCGCAACATTTCCAAGAAAGTTTTCCGTATAGTCATCACAATGTACACGGTGATAGAGAAAATGTCTCTGCTCTTGTGCATAAAGAAACGCATATGTAAATGCCATGTATAATTTGACTATTGATTGCTTTTATGTGCAATTCAATAGAACCAACTGTCTGATTCTTGAACATCTCAAGATATAACAATGTTCTTTTAGATTTGAGGACAAATTTCGCCTCAAGACATACTTTTTGGGAACAATTTTGTGTCTGAAAACTTGGAAGAAACATAAAGTGATATTTTAAGCTCTGGACACTGCAAAAACTCTAATGCTTTGGGCAGAAACTCACCCTTGATCTTCCACGGCCCCCTTGGTATGTGCCGTCATAGCCACTACCGCCGCTTCCACTTCCGGTACCACCTCGCTGTGGGAACTGCAATTGACCGAAAAAAACGTGTACGTTGTTAGTGTGCTAGGAAGTGAAGCACAAACAGAAATAGTGGCCAGGAAAGAAGCAAACACTAATTGTTTTCGTACCCCTAATTCCATATTATTTCTCCCAAACACAATTTATGGCTCGAGAGCCCTTTTTCTCCACCCCAAACTGAAAGTGGTTTAAGCAGAAAAAGGTACAGCAGAAAAAATAGCCTACATGAAACACTCAGGGATATTAAATACTCACAATTCTCATTGCAAAAGCATATGGTGGACAATTAAAAATTTATAGAGCGTTAAAATGTGCCATTCTACACCCCTGCTTTTTGCGAGCGGATCAAACAAACGCTTTTTCCTCACACGCTATGTCAAAACGGATATATGCACTTGTAGGTATCAACCGTGAATGCCATTTGGTATAACACTAATCTCAGCCACACTTCAATATACACATATAAATCACAGAGAGTTAACGTAAAAAAAAAATGTTGATGAGCACGATGATGTTTCATGTCACAACAAAAGACACTGTATGGGATGCTTATGAGAGAAAGAAATGAACATACCGTATTTACACTATCACGTTTTCGTAAACGATTTCGTACCTTTGAGGCGCCCACTTCTCGCGTCGAGATGCCCATCTTCTCATGGTGGCGAAGCTGAACCGGATAGATAATTTGGTAGTAGTGGCTCCCAATTCGTCCCACGAGCTCTTGGTTTTGGCGGTACTCCTTCAGTAGTCGTTCCACCTCACCTGGAATTACAGAAGAGATTCATGGTGAAATCGTGACTCAAGCGCGCTCCCTCTCTCTCTCTCTCTCTCTCGTGGGACAATAAGAAGATATTTCCTGATAATCAAATTACTGATGTACTTATTTTCTGCTATATGCTTCAACACTCTCTGCATTCTTTCATCGCCTATCTTCAATGGTGTCAATGAGGAGGCAATGAGATGAAAATGCTATACTTTTCTCCATTGCGCTCTTCCGTCAGCCGTAGGAGAAAAAATGGAGGAATGTATATTTATGCTGAGACATTCCGTATAAGAGAGATTTAACAGTTTGAGAACAAAGACGAGACACTCGAGCAAAGCACCCAGGGAATAAAGCTAGCAACGCTTGTGGGGTGAGGCGCGAGCAATAAAAATTTAATAACGCATGAAAGATGGCGAAGGCATCTACTTATATTGCCATCAATCCACCTTCTAATCCGCGTTTAGATTGTCACTAAATCCACATGAGTTTTCCTTTTAATTCAGCACACAAACGCTGGCAAAACATCCCGGCACAAACAACCTCATGGAGGTGTGATATTTAAGACGGAGAAATTTCAATTTAATCCTCCTCTCAGGTTTTTCCCTTTCCGCACTTTTCGCATCGCATGCCACAGCAAATTCCCAGAAATGGCGAAAAAGGGGAGAAAATTGTTTCTCAACTTGCATCACACAACTTTAAATTGGCAACTTTTCGATAACTTCCCAAAGTATTCTCGAGACATCCCATGTACTCTCTTCAAGATTTTTCAATTTATAAGAATGAGTGTGTCTTCCTGGAGAAATTGCAACATTCAACTGTTTAAGATTGTCACCAAATTAAAAATATTTGTAATTTCGTGTTCTTTGACTTTCTCTTTTGCTTTCTGCTCTTTGCTTTCGCCAAAATGTCCACTCAACAAAATTACCAGCTCATCCTTCACCGCCATAAAGAATACTTTGCTCAGGTAAAAGTTGGGGTGATTATTCGTTATTTTTCTGCGAGAGATGATGTAAAAGTTTTCGAAACTTCTTGAAAAAGGACCTTGTAAAATTACAATTTACCAGCCAATATAGAGCTTTGTATTTGTGAGCTAATGGATGTGAGTGTAAGGAGTATTCTAGGAATTCCTAAGGATCATTGAAAGGCTCTAAAAAATATCTCGCTGGATTATCATACAAAGTAGCCAACGAAATTCCCAGCCTAGAGGAAAGACAAGCACGTCTCACACCCACGATCTAATTCCGAAAATATCCAGTATTAATCTCTTACTCTGTGCCTCCCTCCATCACCTTAGCTAGAACTTAACCTCAGACATAACTGTAATGCAAGTCAACCTGGGGGTAAGTTATTGCTCACTTGCGGCAAAGTAGGGGATCTAGATTGTTCACACATCGTATATCTTGGATTGTGTGCGAAGACAGGCAGAATTCATTCTCATTCCATGCGGTATTAAAATAAATACACCTCCTCTTTTGGGTAAAATTCTCGCAGGAATTCTTCGCAAAGTGAACGCTTACGGAAATTTACTTGTGTGTGCTTTAAAAATTGCTGCAAATTGCGATGTTGAGGCGCACGGTGTGTAGTGAAAAAACATAACCCACTCGTGCAACAATATACAGAATGCCTGAGGCTCACCGCATAAAACGCTCCGTGAGTGGATGGATAAAATTCTGGCTGGGGCGTCAGTGTCAATGGGTTGGGTTGGACTCCCGAAACAATATCGTTTTATCGTCATTCCATCTACGATGCCGTACCATCTACACTCTGCTAATGGCAATGTTTTCCCACATATTTGTGCTCGTGAGCACGCGGCAGAGTATGGAGTAAGTGGCTCGTATTTAAATCATAGGTTTCCACATGTAAATGCTGAATTTTTGGGTTGTGGAAGCTTTCAGAATGTCTCATGGTATAAATAAACAAAATCATACTTGAAAAGTAAAGCCATGAATGTTACATTTGGCAGTGCAAATACTCCACGAGCAGCTCCTGTTTGCCTCTCAACTACATCGATGAATAATGCTGTGACGCGAGAAAGACCGCCCTCTTTGCATTTAGTTTCCTGAAGACAAATACAATGTATATATTCCTGCCCGGATGATGAAGGATAAGGACATGGGAAAAAGGTACCGGAGGAGGGTGAAAAAAAAAATTATGGATGGACAGAGAAAATTGTATGCTTTTTATACCATGTTATCATCGCACGATCATTTTTTCCCCGGCAGGCCTTTCATGTGTTTTGAATTTTGATTTAAATGATGTCAAAACCACAGTCACATATCACCCGTAATGGCACTGCGTGGGTGAGTCTTTGAGTGCCGCCGCTCCGCCTCAACCCACCGAGAGTTAGAAATGATGATGATAAATTTCCCGGAGCAAATAAATTGTCGCGAACTGTTTACACACTTGATTTATACATTGGAATGTTGCTATTCTCTGCCAAGAATTGAGACTGACACTTGCCATTGTGTCTCGTTTTTACGAAATTTTCACCATTTCAGTCTGGAGGCGCGAAAACAGAGCTGAAAAGGCTCTACAGATAGATTACATGGTGAAGTTCATTTGAAATTGGAAGCTCGAGAAGTCTCTCAATTCTGCAACATATTTTAAATTGTTCACTCTATTTTTTTCGGGACTTGGGAAGAATTTTTTTTTATTTAGAAATAAATGTCCGAAGAGCTTTTTACAACGACTCTCCGCCCATTAAATTGCTTTATTAATACCAGGATGGAGTGCAAGTACTAATTATTGTAATTCACACGGAGTAATTGTTGTAACACTTTTGCACGAACCCGTGCTGTTGTGGAGTAATTGCAAAATTCCCAGGCCAATTATTGTCTGTTTATGAATACCCTACGGATTCAACTATCCCAGAGAGGTTCATCCTCTACTTTCCTCTTATGGCTGGGGCGAGGAGTGTTTTTTTCGGTGGGTTGAGTTTCACGAAGAAAAGACCACCCGAGAAACCCCTTTGGAAAATGTTTTCTGGCTTTCACCATTTGGGCCGTAGCCATTTCCCATCCTTTTCGCATGTACACTTTCAGTATCATCTTTATTTCTCTCTGGGTGAGCACAACAATTTCTCTGAAAGCTCATAGCTCGGGAAAAACAACTTTGCTGCGCTTTGACGTCAAAAAAATTGAGTTTGCTGAAACTTTCTCCCCGATATAGTGGAGAATGTCCCATGAGAAGTGAGTTAGAATGACAGAAATTGGACACAACATATTTTTAAATAAGTAATAAGAATGTTGAGAGTAGAAAGTCTCACAAATAGGTATGCTATGTATGAATATTTCAAGCACAATAGGGAACTCTATTAGTGTCCTTTGACGACACTTTTCTCTCTCAAATGACGTCAAACTGTCGCTTACAGAGAGGCGAGCTTAACGCTTTATCCGGAAGATATTTCATAAAATATACATATGCGCACACTTGAAGGTTGAAAGTATAATTCTGTGAAAATCCTGAAACCACATTTTATCTGTAATTTCCTTCGAATCTCGCAAATATATCATATGTGCGATTTTTAGGCTCGCTCATATATTCATTCAGCCGACAAAATTGTATTTTAAATTTATGCTCACATACCTTTTTCGTGTAACCCCCGAAAGGAGAGCCAATTTATTTCCCCCATTCACGGCGTCGGCCGTGATTCCATGCGAGCGATGGTATTGTTCGAAAATGTTGGCAGCAGTCACTGATAATTTTTTATCACACCATATCCAAAGTGGGCGGTGGCTTGCATGATAAAGTGTCTCGCGAAGAATGACTCCTTTCACCCATAGTGTATCGTGTATTTGAATATTTCATGTAACCTGACTCACGGAGTCAAGCAACAAGTGTACAACTTCCTGACAATATCACCCATTATCGATATATGAGTTTCACAGTGTGAGAGATGGGCAAAAAGGCCACCAATTCTGACAGTTGAACACAAATTTAAACTTCACACACACACCTGATTAGGTAATATTGTGAGAGGAACTTTGAATATTCATGAGCTCATCCGTTTATTGAATTATTTTAGTTCAATAATTTTAATTTTAATGAGATTCAAAGTTTTCACAGTGTAATTGGGCAGAAAATCGCCTGTAACGCTTCACTTAAACAGCGAATATTCGAATCCCTATCTATTACAATACCATGTAGAGTATTCAGAAATTAATGTGATGTCTTCGATAAAATTAGAAGTCCACTCTTCTTTGACATTCCAAGCGCGAAAGCCCATAATTGAGCGCCTAAGAGGGATCGAATATTGTGCTTTGCACTACAATATTAGGCAACTACCACGCATTTTGTGTGACTTTCAGGCGTAATGTGATGTGAATCAATTGTAATTAATTTGCCAAGTCATCGAGACAATCAATCACTTGTCTCAAGACATGGCAAAAAGGTAGCTGAAAGCTAGGCGAGGGGGTAATTTTTAAATACCCTCTGGCATAAGAAAAATGTCAGTAATTACACAGAAATTGCCATAAAGGCGTGCTTTCTGTCTGTCGGGTAGATTTATTTACTATGTCGTGTGATTGTTTCTCTCTTATGGAATGCGAAATCAATACATCAGGGTTTACGTGCACCCCAAGACAGTGGGAGCTGTAAGAAAGTAATTGAAGCTCCAGGGACATTGAAATTAGCATTTTACATTTTTCCCAATTCTCAAATTCCGATTCACTGAATATGAGTGAGGTTGGAAGCTTGTGAAACGAGATCGAAACATCCCATGAATACCGAACGGAGGCGACGGAAGGTGGGAATATCTTTGGAACTACCTCACCTCAAATCATCCAAGTACTTTGTAGACATAAATTGAATGTTCATGTATTTAACTAGACACGGTGAGAGAAGCTGGCAGCAAAAAATAGGGTGAAAATGGTAGACTTGAAGTCATGCGAACACATCGAAATTACATTCGATTTGTGTAAAATGGGTGATTTCAGTGATTTTGGAAAAGGAATTTATTAGGGAAATTTATTTGCTTTGCGTGCGAACCTGGAACACCATG